TTTGTTCTTCGATTCCCACGCCAGTCTATCCGTTTCGGCACAAATCAGAGTTTTCCTAATTGCTTCCTCTTCTTGTGGAATTTCCCTGTTTGTCCTGTTGTGTGTGTGTGTGTGTGTGTGTGTGTGTGTGTCTGTCTCTCTCTCACAAACAAAAGCACGAGTGGGGGGGCTCAGCTGGGCTCCCTGAATTTTGACTTTTGGAAAAACAAAACACCTTGATGCCCTGATGGGTTTATCCAGTCCCTTCACGATCCCTGGTTACTCTTTTGATCTCCTCCTCTACCAGCCAGCCAAAAACTCTTTATTAAAAGGAAAGAAAGAAAGAAAGAAAGAAAGAAAGAAAGAAAGAAAGAAAGAAAGAAAGAAAGAAAGAAAGAAAGAAAGACAGAGAGAGAGAAAGACAGAGAGAAAGAAAGAGAGAGAGAGAAAGAAAGAAAGAAAGAGAGAAAGACAGAGAGAAAGAAAGAAAGAGAGAGAGAAAGACAGAAAGACAGAGAGAAAGAGAGAAAGAAAGAGAGAGAGAAAGACAGAAAGACAGAGAGAAAGAAAGAGAGAGAGAGAGAGAGAGAAAGAAAGAAAGAAAGAAAGAAAGAAAGAAAGAAAGAAAGAAAGAAAGAAAGAAAGGGGGGAGGAGAGAGGCTGGTAGCCTTTTCCAGAGCAGAGACAATATCAAAGAAGAAACACCTCTGGCATCGCAGGGATCTTTGATTTACAAGTGGGGGAAGCGGAGAAGATGCTTTGAAGAAAGCTTTTCATTCTCAGGTGCTGCAAAGGCAGCTTAAAAGGTCCAGCTTTTAAGGAGGGGGGGGGGAGGAAATCCGTGTGTGTGTGTGTGTGTGTGTGTGTGTGAGAGAGAGAGAGAGAGAGAGAGGGACGGAGGGGAGGGAGCATCCTCAAGAACCTGGCAGCCACCTTGACCCATTCTTCGAGCTCCGGAATGAATGGTACAGAATGCAGGATTAACAAAAGACTTGGAAGGAACCTCGGAGGTCTTCTAGTCCAACCCCCTGATCGAGGCAGGGGGACTGCTATGCCGGCAGTCCTCAGCGTACGACCACAGTTGAGCCCAACATTTTCTACAGCTAACTTGAGCCGGTTCTTAAGTGACCTTTCCCACCCCCACACACATTTGGTGACCTTCCTTGCCACCGTTGTTAATGCGGTTGATAGGTTAGTCACACGGTCGTTAAGTGAATTTGTTAAGAGAAGGAAGGAAAGGAAGGAGAAAAAGGGAGGGAGGGAGGGAAGGAAGGAGAAAAAGAGAAAGGAGAAAAAGGGGGGGAGGGAAGTAATGAAGGAAGGAGAAAAAGAGGAAGGAAGGGAAAGAAAGGAAGAAGGGAGAAAAATGGAGGGAGGGAGAGAAGGAGGGAAGGAAGGAGAAAAAGGGAATGAAGGAAGGAGAAAAAGGGAGGGAAGGAAAGAGAAAAAGAGAAAGAAAGAGAAAGGGAGGGAGGAAAGGAATGAAGGAAGGAGAAAGAAATGAAGGAAGAAGAAAAAGGAAGGGAGGAAAAGAAAGGAAGAAGGGAGAAAAAGGGAGGGAGGGAGGGAAGGAAGGAAGGAGAAAAAGAGAAAGAAGGAGAAAAAGGGAGGGAGGGAAGGAATGAAGGAAGGAAGGAGAAAAGGGGAAGAAGAAAAAGAGGAAGGGAGGGAAAGAAAGGAAGAAGGGAGAAAAAGGGAGGGAGGGAGGGAAGGAAGGAAGGAGAAAAAGAGAAAGAAGGAGAAAAAGGGAGGGAGGGAAGGAATGAAGGAGAAAAGGGGAAGAAGAAAAAGAGGAAGGGAGGGAAAGAAAGGAAGAAGGGAGAAAAAGGGAGGGAAGG